CACAGACACAGACACACACACACACACACACACATACACACAAAGAAAGGTCTTTTATTGGCACCTGGGGTGAGGATTTATTAGAAATTTACATTATGAAGGAACTTGTTAGGGTGACAGCAATGCTCAACATCTTTATAGAGGCTTTGGTTACAAAAGGTGTATGCATCTGTCAGAACTCAGTATGCATTTGTCATTTGTTTTTAAGATTTGTGTATTCCTCTGTATGACAATTTTACATTAAAAGGGAAAAAACAACAAATGGAAATGTAGTTAGTGATCTTGATATCTGGAATTTACTTTGAAATGCATCAAAAACAATATAGATTGACTAATGGGATGGATAAAGGAGTATCCATGTATATATAATAAGGAAATATAATAAATATTAGAGGTGGAATCTAGGTGGTGTCTATACGTGTGCTCATTATAAAATTCTTGGAATTTGGCTATTTAAATTTTTTCTTAATAGAATGTTGAGAAAAATAGAAGTACTAATCTATTTGCCCCCAAGAAAAATTCAACTTCTTTGAATAGGTAAGCTATATAAATACATGTATGTATAGACATAATAGTGACAGGGTTGCTGCTGTGGTTTGGATCAGTTCTTCCAAAGGTCCATGTTTTAAAGGATTGGTTCTCCATCATGTGGCACTATTGGAAGATGATTGTACCTTTAAGAGGTGAGGCCTAGGGGCTGGGGCTAGGGCTCAGTGGTAGCGCACTTGCCTGGCATGTGTGAGGCACTGGGTTCAATTCTCAGCATCACATATAAATAAATAAAAAAGATAAAGATCTATCAACAATTTTAAAAAATTTTTAAAAAAAAGAGGTGAGGGCTAGTGGAAGGATTTCCAGTCACTGGGGATATTCACTTAAGAGACTAGTAGAACCCCATCTCTTCCTCTTCCTCTCTCTTTTGAACCTAGCAATAAGTGAATAGTCCCCCTCTACCGAGCATTCCTTCCATGACATACTGTGCTCCACAGGCCTAAAGCAACAGGGATAATTGGTTCTGGACTGAAACCTCCAAAACTGTGAGCCAAAATAAACCTTTCATCTTTTAAGTTGATTATCTCAGGCATGATTGTTACAGTAACAGAAAGCTGGGATTGGGGGTGTGGACAGTGGCAGAGGATCTGCCTATCATGTATAATGCCTTGGGTTAGACACCCAGCACTGCCAAGAAAAAAAGAAAAGACTAACATAGCTGTCTTCATGAGTATGGTAACTATGTAGTGACTTGGGCTTCCTTTGATTAAATGTTCTTCTATTGCCATTTTGAAATTCTGGATTTTTTTTTTAACAAGGAACTCTACATTTTCATTTTGTACTAAGCTTTGCAAATTATGTAGCCAGTCCTGATAATAATAATAATAATATTATTGAACAATAATAATATTACTATAATAATATTACATAATATTATTATGAACAATAATAATATTACTGACATATATTATGTTCTCTCTATGCCAGGCACTATGTTAAATATTTCACATACATTATCTCATTGATTCTTTAAAAAAAGACTAAATATGTACTTGTGTATGTGTGTATGTTTGTGAATGTGTGTTGTGATAGATCTCACTGTGTTGTTCAGGCTGGCCTCAAAACCCTGGGCTTAAGTAATTGTCCCCTCTCAGCCTCCTTAATTATCATTGTGCCTGGCTCACATATATACTATTAATATTCTCATTTTATAGATGGGCAAACTGAGGCTCATAAGTTTTAAGCTATTTGCTCAAATTCACATTTTTATTGTACCTCAGTATGCATAGTAGTGGAGTATACATAATAGACAATAAATGTTTATTGGGATAAATTATAATAATAGCAGCTCCCATTTATTGAGCACCTTTGGTGAACCTAGAATGCTTTAACTGAAATTTTACATATGTAACCTAGATTCCTCAGCTTTTGTATCACTTCCTCAAGACAACATTCCCTGCCATCCTAAATTAGGTCAGTCCTCTTCTTATGATACTCTAGGCCTCATTATAGTATTCATCATAATTGTAATTAGATCTTTGTTTAATGCTTGTCTTTTCTTCTGGACAGGATAGTGGCTCCTTATATTTTTTTATATTTTTCATATATATATATTTTAGATGGAATCTCAAAATGTTGTCCAGGTTGGTCTTGAACTCCTGGGTTCAAGTGATCTTCTCATTTCAGTCTCACAAGTAGCTGAGACTATAGGTATATGCCACAATGCCCAGTTGATAGTAGCTCATTTTCATCTGTTCACCACTTTATTCCCAGCATCTGTGCTGGACCTTGAGCATAGACTGACTGCCTGTCTGCCAGAGTTTGATTATGTTTTCTCATTTAGTCTTCAATCCTATGAAGTAAGATTATCACCATCACTTTACATGTAAAGAAACTAAGGCTCGGAGAAGTTAAATACAAGTCATCCTACCTTGGAGGAAGTGACCCACCAAAATGTAGACTTACATCTGTTCAAGTCCAAAATCTCTCATAATTTCACCACAGACCACTGTTCTCAAGTGACAACCTGTTTGACATCATTTTCTATCAGTAGGCACCACTTATTTCTTTAATATCTCTTCCAGCTTCTATTTTTGCTATCTGACCTCCAAGCTCTAATGAAAAAGAGACATGCTTTCCAGCAAGTAATTACAGCAGTTGATATCATAACTGAGTTGGGCCAAATCACGATTTTGTTTTTTAACCTTGGTGAGTGAAGCAGCTAGAAACATTAACTTCTAAAACCAAAGGATCAATTTCTTTTTGGTACTGATTCTTCCTTAGTCCTGGGAAATAACCTCAAGTGTTATGTAAATGCAAAGCAATCACCCATGTCTAGCTCAAGGTGAAGGCCTGAAAAAATTAAGGTAAAGCTTAATTAAGTTAGATATTTCAGGCTCATAGAGGATTTCTTAGTAGTTTCCCTCCTCTATGTCTTTCTCTAAGGTTGGATTAAGACTGACCTATGCTTGTGCATTACTGTATATCTTTGCAGAGTTAAGAGGACTGTTCGTTCTTTGGGCAATTATTTATGAGAGTTGTGGAAGTGGGATGGAGGAATGTTAACAGACAGTGAAGACTTGTTTTTTCAGCCAATGCTGGAGGAAAGGTGCTCAGCTCAATATTGTGTGGCATGGATTATTGAGTTCCACCTGTGATATTAAAGACTGAAAATCCCAGACCTTGGGAATTAGAGTGATGACAGACTGTGCTGTACTTATTCTTCTGTAGGGTAAATCAAGAGGACACCATCTGGTGGTTGTAGAACTTCTAGAGGACCTAGGTTTGTGCCATTCTGAGGGTGAGTCCAGACTATGAACCTCTCAGAGAAGCCACTGCTAATGGCTGTATAAATTGCCCTGTCTACTTCCTATAAACAAGTCTAAAGACTTGTCAAAAGTCACAGCCTGGCTTCAGTTGTGCTATTTGTCTTGTTTCAGTTTCTTGCAGGAACATCAGCACTTCTCAAAGTCAGTGATGGGAGCAATGGGACAATCATCAATACAGTGGTGCCTAGTGGATTTGCATACTCACAAGGTTAAAGATAGCAGAGCTGCAGCAGATTTATAAGGCTAGGGACGGAATAGGAGGGACTGCTCCAGAAAACACGAGAGCTATATCCTGGGATGTTATCAGACATGTGGGGAGAGGAAGAGGTTGCTATTTCTAGGATATGAGCAATGAGAGTTAAGCCATTGTAATTTGAACAGTAAGTTTAAATATAACCTTAATATAAAACTATTGCCAGGCATGGTGATGCGTGCCTATAATCCCAGCTATTTGGGAGGCGGTGGCAGGAGGAGTGCAAGTTCAAGGCCAGCCTGGGAAACGTAGTGAGACCTTGTCTCAAAACAAAAAGTAAACTGGGCTGGGAATGTAGCTCAGTGGTAAAATACCACTGGGTTCAATCCCTAGTACCACAATAAGAGAGAGAGGGAGAGAGAGAGAGAGAGAGAAAGAGAGAGAGAGAGAGAGAGAGAAATATAAGGAACTTAAAGAACTCTTAGGTTAGTTAACTTTTCATCACTGTGACCAAATTACCTGACAAGAACAAATTAGAGGAGGAAAGATTATTTTGACTTATGGCTGCAAAGAATTGAGTGCATGGTCAGCCAGCTCCAAGGCTTCATGGCAGAAGGTCATAAGAGGAGAAAGCTGTTTGGCTCTTTGCAGTTAGAAAACAGAGGTGTGTGACTGGGAAAAGATAAACCCTTCCAGGACATGGCCCAAGTGATCTTCTTCTTCTAACTAGGTCCTCACTCCCAATAGTCCAGTCAGCTGTCAGTGGATTAATCCAGCAAATGGTGGAGGTCCAATGATGAGGTCCAAGCTGTTATGATCCAGTCACTGCCTAAATGCCCCACCTCTGAACCCTGTTGCACTGGAAACCATGTTTTCAACACATGAGATATTGGGGAGAGATTTCATATCCAAACCATAATAACTCTGTAACAAGAAAACAAATAGCCCAATTTAAAAATGGGCAAATGACCTAAGTAGATATTTTTCTCAAAAGAAGACACACAAATGGCTTCCAAGTATATGAAAAAAAAAGTTCAACATCTCTTATCATCAGAGAAATGCAAATTAAAACCACAAACCACTTTGCATCTGTCATCAAAAAGATGAAAGATAAGGGTTGCTAAGGATATGGAGAGAACACTTGCACACAGTTGGTGGGAATTTAAATTGGGACAGGCACTATAGAAAATTGTATGGAGGTTCCTCAAAAAAACTAAAAATAAACTACCAAATGATCCAGCAATCCCACTTTGGGAACACAGCTAAAGGATTTGAAATCAGTATGTCAAAGAGAGATATCTGTATTCCCATATTCATTGAAGTATATTATTCATAAGAGCCAAGACAGGGAATCAATCTAAGTATCTAGCAATGGATATATATATATATATATATATATATATATATATATATATATATATATATAATGTTTTCTTTATCTATTTATATATATACACACATACACACACACAATGGAATACTACTTAAAAAAAGAAGTTTCCTTTTGCAACAACATGAATGAACCTGAAGGACAGTCATTATGGTAATTAAAATAAACCAGGTACCTATATGTGGAATCTAAAAAAGTCAAACTCATAATAGGGAAGAATAGAATGGTGGTTACATGAGGCTTAGTTAATAGGTTTAAAGTTTCAGTTAGACAGAAGGAATAAGTTTTTGAAATCAATTGCACTATATAATGACTACAGTTAATAATAATGTAACATATAGGGCTGGGGATGTGGCTCAAGTTGTAGCGTGCTCGCCTGGCATTCGTGCGGCCCGGGTTCGATCCTCAGCACCACATACAAACAAAGATGTTGTGTCTGCTGAAAACTGAAAAAAAAAAAATATTAAAAAAAATTATAAAAAAAAATAATAATGTAACATATATTTCAAAATTGCTAAGGCGATAGATTTTAAGTATTCACACTAGAAAATAATGTGAGATGATGGATATAATCATTCCATAGTGTATCTATCACATTGAACTCCATTATATATAATTATTATTTTTCAAAAAATTTAATTAAGTATAATTTTATTTTATAGTCACTAACTGGTGAGATCTGATGTATAATTGAGTTACTTTGTATGTGAGAGCCAGTCTCCAAGATGGCTCCCAGTGATCCTCACTTTTTGGTTTTCTTGTCCTTAATGTAGTCTTCTTTCATGATGAATTAGGATTAGTTTAAATGAAATAAGTATGGTGGAGGTTATAGTTAGTGACTTTGAGGAGTAAGTTGCAGCCTCTGCTTTGGTCTCTTGGGTTGCTTGATATGGAGGAGGCCAGCAGTCATCTCATATCTCATGAGGACTCTCAAGAAGCTCTGTGGAGAGACTCACCAGGGAAGGAGCCAAGGCTTGCACCAATTTGCCAGCCATGTGAGTAAGCCCCGGGAAGTGGATCTGCTAGCCCATTCAAGCCCTCAAATAACTGTAGTCCTAGCTAACATTTTACTGAACTCCATGAGAATTCCTAGCCTGAGCTGTCCAGCCAAGTAGCTCCTAACTTCCTTACCAATAGAAACTGAGAGATAATAAATATATTTTTGTTAAGCTACTAAGTTTGGGGATAATATGTTATGCAGTAATAGATAATAAAAAATGTACATTGTAGATTCTATAGAAATCATGTCTATGTAAAACTCTGCCTACATAGGTCAAGAAAGTCTTCAGAAAAAAAGAGAAAATTAAAAAAAAATGACTATTGGTTAAGTCTTCAGCGATGACTAGGAGGTGCAGGTGGAGCAAGGGGAGTCATTTCAGGCTGAAAGAAAAACTTGACCATACTGCCACAAGTAGGAAGACATGACTTATTTGAAAAACAGCAGTTAGTTCGACATGGCTGGGGTGCATGGTTAAAGAATGAAGTAGAGAGAGATTAGAAGAGCAGACTGGATACAGTTCACAAAGGACCTTCTGTGCTATCTCCTTGTATCCGTTGTTTTATCCTGAAGGCAATGAGGAGCCATTAAAGAATTTTAAAACAAGCAACTGACATAAATCAACAGTAAATTTTAGAACGATGGTCAAATGGAAAATGGATTGGAGGCAGAAAGATCACTTAGAAACTCTTGCACATTCAGATGAAAAATGATTAAGGCCTTATCAATGTGAATAGGGAAGAACAAATAGACTTGGAGGGTTAAAGGAGATCTATTTTTAGAATATGAGAAACAAACGAAAGGGAAGATGTGAGAACCAGGAGGAGAAGAAAGTTTTTTGGGGTAATGGGGTGAGTTTGAACGGTACTTTTAAGTAGATGTGTACAGTGGGCAGGCAACTAGAAACACTATTCTGGGGTAGGACCAGGAGGAAGTGAGGTCAGATTGAAGGAGACTTAAGGGTTTTGTTTTGTTTTTTGGTACAGGGGATTGAACTCAGGAGCACTCAACCACTGAACCACATCCCCAGCCCTATTTTGTATTTTATTTAGAGACAGGGTCTCACTGAGTTGCTTAGTGCCTCACTTTTGCTGAGGCTGGCTTTGAACTCTTGATCCTCCTGCCTCAGTCTCCCCAGCTGCTGGGATTATAGGCGTGGGCCAGCACGCCCAGTAAGATTTAAGTATTTGAAGGCTTTTTCATGCATGCATGCCTTATTAAAATGTAAATAATTTCATGAGCAAAATAAAATCTAAATAAAATTTAGAGTTCTAGATTTATCTTGAACTGGTAACAGTAAAGCCACTTAAAAATAAGATTTAAATACGAACTGGGATAAAATTAGGTTAGAACCAAATAGAGGTAGTGAGAGTAACTCAAAGACTACTTTTTAATATCTTTCAGTTTTGCTGAGGATTAAACACATCATTTGAACCTGGTGGTTAATTAAATGTAGAGACTGAACTTTTGATATGCTTATTTCATCACCTCTAATTTTTTAGGCTCTATGACCCATTTTTCTATCACCAATTTTTTAAAAAATTAATTAAATTTTGCTTCTGTTTACTTCACCTATTTTCCAGTTAATTTGCATCAGCTTCATAATCTGATACTTCCTCCTGTTTTTTTTTCTTTTTCCTCTTCCTGCTCTTTGTGAACAAAACAAAACAAATCCTTCCCCCTTATTAAATATATAATAGGTGTGGCAGGGATCTTAATTTCCTTTATTGAGTACTGGAGAGGATATCATTGTTCTTGATTTCATTGTCCACAGCCATCTAATTCTTTGAAATTATTTTCTAAATAACAGAGTGATTTTAACCTCTAAGTATGGTCTAGTACCCAATACTGCAAGACTTGGAGTTCAATCAGTTCACTTGATTTCTACTTACCCAAGAATTATGTATTCAGAAATAATACCATATGGATAATGTGGTGTGCACAGCATTAGTATTTCAAGGATTGAAGGAAAAGTTATTTATAAGTCATAGTTTTATGAAGCTTGGAAAGAGAATCACAGCAGTAAATGGGCTAAAATGCCAGACTTTGAACAGAACTTTTGATTGTTTTAAAAGTTTTGCCTCAGTAAAAAAATTACTACCAATAAAATTTATGCCATCTTATTTGTGGAAATAGCTGTGGTTTTTAAAAAGTAGCCATTTAATCTTTGTCAGTACAAAGGAAAGTGATGTAAAAAATGAGTAAATGAGCCTAATGTGGTGGTGTAATTCCAGCCACTTGGGAAGACTGAGGCAGGAAGGAGGCGGAGGCAGGAGGATTACAAGTTCAAAGGCAGCCTCAGAAACTTAGTGAGACACTGTCTCAAAATAAAAAAATTAAAAAAGAGCTGGGGCTGTGCTCAGTGGTTAAGAGCCCCTGGGTTCAATTCCTGGGACCAAGGAAAAAAAAAAAAAACAGTAAATGGAGCTGTGTTTTTTATCAGAGTGCCTACTGGAAAGAACTCAAGCATAAAGAGACACCACTTAATGTATTTAACTTTTTCAACATTAAAATGATGAAAAAGGAGGCTTAATAAAAATTTTCTAAGGTGTAAAATATCTAATGAATATTTTAAACAGTTTTATAACAGAATTAAAGGTAAAACCACAAAATCCTAAGTAGAAGACATTTTTTCTAAAACAAAATATTGTTTTTTTTTCTGATTACATAATTGACATGTTCATTTTTTTAAAGTCAGTTAATACAGAAAAGCAGGAAATAAATTATATAAACCTATTAGCCACAGATAAACACTGTTAATATTTTGTGAACGTGCGTTTAATGGTTCCTTCATGTTTGTGTATGTATATTTATGCACAGGGTATATCATATGTAGAATCATACTCTACATACACTGATCCTTCCTTCTGCTACACACTGTGGACATCTTTTCATACTTATAAATATGGATTTATTCTAGCTTTCTAAATGGGTACATGGCATCATACTCTATATAAATACAATTTAATCAACCTTTCCTACAACATTGAACATTTATCAATCAGATTATTCCCAAGGTGTTTACTTTTTTCTTGTCATACTGGGGATTGAACCCAGGGGCACTCTACCAATGAGGTATATTCTATTTTATGTGTGTGTGTGTGTGACAAGTTCTCATTAAGTTGCCAAGGCTGTCCTTGAACTTGCAATCCTTCTGCCTCGACCTCCCAAATAGCTGGGATTATAAGCCTTTGCCACCCTGTAACATGTTTCCCAGGCCTCCTTCAGGCATCCTGACCTGAGTTCTGTCCTTTGCAGGATCCTCTAAGGGAGGCAGACACTTGGAAAACTCCAAATCCCACAATACTTCCCCAGTCTCAGTGCAGTTTTTCTTGTCTTTATATTAGTGAAGAGTTCTTGGAGAACAAAGGCCTATTAATTCCCTGCTGGGTCAAAGGAAGGGGAGGACTCCAGTGCACTTTTCTTGAGGAGATGGGGAGAAAGGGAATTGCCACTCAATCTTTCCAGATAATCCTGTAACAGAAAACTAGACAGTTGCCTTTGAGGAGTTACTTAACCTCCTTAAACTTCAAATTCTTTGTCTATAAGATAGCAACAAATAGCAACTCTATCCTTCCAGTTGTGGAGGCTAAAAAACTCAGTTGTTTTTTGCCCTTTTCATTCTCTTGCCTTCACGCCATCACATTCTGCCTGTTGAACCTTCAAAATAAATCCAAAATCTGACCACTTCTCCCCACCTCTACAGCTTTGGCTTTGGGCCAGACCTCCATCATGTCTTATCTGGGACTTTACAGTAGCCCCTAACAGGTCTCCCTAATTATTCTTGTTTTCCTGTGATCGATTTTCAAGACAATAGCCTCTGACTTTTAAAATAGATAATGGCTTTTTCTCTAATTTAGAGGAAAAAGCAAAAAACCTCCCTGTGTGATTTATCCATCTCTCCCACTTCTCTGATCTAACCATCTTCCTTTTCAGTCATTCTACCCTTGCCAAACATATGCCCCTTGCATTTGCTGTTTTCTGTGCCTTCAGCTGTTCTTAAAGGCCAACAAATAAAACAAGTATTTGTTGAAAATATTACCTTTATCACATCCTTATATTTCTTTTTAAAAATATTTTTAGTTGTAGATGGACATAATAACTTTATTTAATTTATTTATTCATTCATGTGATGGTGAGGATCGAACCCAGTGCCTTACACGTTGATGTGTAGGCAAGCGCTCTACCACTGAGCCACAACCCCAGCCCACATCCTCATATTTCTTGATAACACTTATCATAGTCATATTGTATGTTTAGCTTAATTATTTGTTTGTTATTTGTTTCTTAGAACTGGAATGCCAGGCCATCAGAGGAAGGGACTTGCCTCTTCAGTTTTTCAATGTTTAGAGTGGTTCTCAGCCACTATCAAGGGCTCAACAAATATTTGTCAAATGAACAAATAGACAATCATAATCCCTATCTTTCATGGTTGGAATGAAAATTCAGTGAGGTAACAGTGTCTAGTGAACAGGAAGGACTCTCTACATATAGGCTGTTTTTGCACCATTATTATGGTATTTAAGATAGGCTTTGGAGAACATATTAGAAAAAAGGGTATTCCAGTCTTTGCACTTGGATCAGAAACTTAAAAGTGTGACAAAATGGGTTTTTGGTAAGAGAAAGGACTGGAAACATAGCAATAGAACAGAAGGTGGAAACTGAATTCAAAGTTCAGAATTCCGAAGTTTGTTCTTAACAATCAGGAACAATGGGCTGGGGATGTGGCTCAAGCGGTAGCGCGCTTGCCTGGCATGCCTGCGGCCCAGGTTCGATCCTCAGCACCACATACAAACAAAGATGTTGTATCTGCCGAAAACTAAAAAAAATATTAAAAAAATAAAAAATAAAAAAAATACAGTCAGGAACTAGTCAGGATTTTCAGCAGAGGAAGATATGGTAATATCTTCACTTGGGGGATCTTCTGTGGGGATTATTACTTGCCTTGTGTTTAAAAGTTACATTTTCTAGGGTGGAGTGTATTTGTTAATTAGAGAAAATAGTGAGTTACTTTAAGAAACTTTGAAAGACATTTTCCACATACAGGCTGATAGGACCTGGCCTATGTATATGATCCTCTCTTTTCAGGTAGGCCTCAAACATGCTCCATGGTGGGAGAGCAAAATGAGTGTGGGAAAGACTGAAAATCTTGGTGATCTATTTTTAACCAATCTGGGTTGAATGGGGTTCTAACTCAGCCATTTCTCCTTTCATGATTCAAAATTGCTTAACCTTTGGATTAAGTCTATTTCAAACCCTGGCTATACTTCATGTCTTGGTTTTCCATTTCACATGCAATTTCTGATCATATCTCTCTTTTAATATACCTCACTTTCAGTCTAAAGTCCTGCTTATCTAGGTGCCAAGTCCAGTAGCATTAGCATCACTTGAGAGCTTATTAGAAATACAGAATTCTCAGAATTCAGCCAGTTCCACTGAATTAGAATCTACATTTTAATAAGATCCCTGGTGATTTATGTGTACCTTAAAACTTAAGAAGAACTGCATTTGAGCATCCCTTAACCAATGGCTGTCCCAGTCTCCCTCAGGAGCCCCTCAGTAACTTAAATAAACATATAACATATTTTCTTTCTAAAACAACTTTCTGGACAAGTCACCTAGCCACCTTCTCCAACTAGAGAGCTTTCCACTTTCTACCTTGTGTGTAGACAATATAAAGGAATGACTGCTCTAAAGGTGCAATGTTTCTCAAGGTAGAATCCTTAGATCACTCCCATTTGAATAATCTAGAGGGTTTGTTAAAAATGCAGATTCCTAGCCCCCACCTTGCATCTATTGAATGTGATTCTCTTAAAGGACTCTACAAGCCATTTTTTTCAATTAATACTTGATATATACTAATCTTCAAAGAACCATCAGAGAACTCTTGGCTCCTGAAAGGCAGTTTCTATCCTTAATACTGCTTTTCTTTTCTTTTTTTTTTTATTCAGTTTTTTAAACTTTCTTTTTTTAATACCTTTATTTTGTTTATTTATTTATTTATTTAAAGGTTTAACTATTTTTAAAAAATTTTTATACCTTTTTATTTATTTATTTTTTAATGTGGTGCTGAGGATCGAACCCAGGGCCTTGCACGTGCTACACGAGCGCTCTACCACTGAACACAATCCCAGCCCAATGCTGGTTTTCTTGATATTGCATTATCTTTCCAACTCTGATCCCACTTCCTTAGCCTGTCCTGCAGAGAGTTATTTGAAATACAGTAGTTTAGTTATGACCCTATTGTTATGTAGTACTGTTTTGTTTTTGTGGAGCTGGGAATTGAGCCCAGGGCCTTGTGCATGTGAGGCAAGCACTCTACTAAGCTATATCCCCAGCCTATAGTACTGTTTTTTTCAAGAGATTGTGCTAAATGCTATACTCATATTTCTTTTTCAAAAATATGGTAGTAGCATTCTAGAATTTCATTTTTAATTAGTTATTCATCACTAATATACAAATGAAATATAAATCAGTAATTAAATGTTTATTTCTCTGCTTCTTAACATTTTCTTATGTAATAAAAGAGAATGCTTTTTTCTCTTTGATGCTTTCTTTAAGTCACCATGATCTCCTTTACCAGTACCTCACATCATATCAGCCAGTTTTATTGTCAGGCTTATTGGAAAAGTCCCTGGAAAGAGGAAGGGAATCATGGCAGTTATGGTATTTGTAAGTTTGTGATGTTGCATAGGTAAATTTTAAAAAAATATTTTTAAGTTGTCAATGTACCTTTATTTTATTTATATGTGCTGCTGAGAATCAAGCCTAGTGCCTCACACATGTTAGGTAAGTGCTCTGCCACTGAGCTACAACCCAGCCCTGCATAGGTAAATTTGACTTTATTATACCATTATTCTGGGCTTGGGAATTGGTGGCAGGGTAAGTGACGAAATAAGTGCTTGATGCCTAAACTGCTGGTTAACCTCTTTGTCACTACAGACTGCCATTGAGGAGGGTTCCCACTGCTGACATGAAGGCAGAGAAGAATGGGTAACAGAAAGGTAAAACTCATAGCATACCTACTAGTTAAGAAATTAAATTACATAGTTCAACTTTGAATTAACAGATATTAAATGTTAAATTAATAAAATGATTCTTCTTGGAAATTAAATTTAAATGAAGCCCTAATCTTAATAAAGAGAGTTCAAGAGGGAGAGACAACAGAATGTATTCCAGACTTCTGCATCCCCCCCCAATAGTATTGTTTTAGATTTATTAATACTGCTTTCAAAAAAATTAGAAAATCAAAAAAAGTCTCCCTCTTTTTTTGTTTTTATTCTTGAAAAGGTTAAAGGCTTCATGGATATTCTTAAATGTGTCCGTCTTTATATGTCCTTCTGAACTCTCAGCAAAATCTCTTCTTTTAAAATCTTCTGTTGTGCTACCTTCCTATTTATTCTCATTTTCCTGTTCTTTTCCTTGATTTGTGGCCATTTCTGGGCCTTACCCTTTTTGTTTTGCTTCCTTGGGAAGTTGTAAATTCCCTTAGACAGAAACTGTGTATTCTTTTCTTTGTACATATCAACAAGTATTTATTGGATTATGTATGCTCAGCATAGTGAGACATACAAAGACAAATTATGAAACGGTTTGGCTTGGGAAAAAACCTAACCCATGAACAAGTGTAGTAGTTACTTTAAAGGGGATTTAAGTATATGACTAATGTAGATGTGAGTCCTGATCCTCTGAACTGTCCTGGGGAGGTACAAAACCAATGAAGATGTATATGGGTACCTGGACCCCTCAATACTAAGAAAATTTGCTTTGGAATCTATAATAAAAGTCCTAGTGAATCTACAAAGATTAGATGACCTTAAGCCAACCATTATGGCACACATCTGTAATTCCAGCAATTAGGAGATGGAGGCAGGATTGCAAGTTTGAAGCTAACCTCAACAACTTAACAAGACTGTCTCAATTAAAAAAAAAAAAAAAAGGACTGGGGATGTAGGATATAGCTCAGTGATAAGCACCCACCCTGGGGTTTAATCCCCCAAACCAAACAGGGAGGGGGGGGGGAGGGAGGGAGGGAGAGAGTGAGAGAGAGAGAGAGAGAGAGAGAGAGAGAGAGAGAAAGAAGATCATGTCTGCAGAGCTGCTCATATTCAAAAGGAAAACAAGCTCAGTAAATATCTCCAGTAAAGATCTTGGTTCAACTTTCCTGGATTCCATAATTTACAAGAATTCCTGTATGCTTCAAGGGTAAGAGGTACTTGAACAGTGGTCATTGCATTAATTAAGCAGATGAAGCTAGTGCCACATTTAACTTGATTTTAAAAGATCAAATTAAAATAAAGAGGGCTGGGGATGTGGCTCAAGCGGTAGCGCGCTCCCCTGGCATGCGTGCAGCCTGGGTTCAATCCTCAGCACCACATACAAACAAAGATGTTGTGTCCGCCGAAAACTAAAAAATAAATATTAAAATTCTCTCTCTCTCTCTTAAAAAAATTAAAATAAAGATGAGTGAAAAATTTTAAATTAAATTAAAAATAAAAAAGATAACAGGTGAAGTTTCCGCAGGTTATGAAGCAGTTCTTAAGGCTGCATGAATTATAGTGATTATAGAATGTTTTTGCCTTCCAGTGTTTATGGTGACAGGCTCAATTTGAAAGATAGAATTCCAGGAGTTTCTTGAAAATTTCCATGAGGAAGTGCTCTTTATTTTTCCATTGGATTTGAATCTGGATGTTTATGAAGTTGAAGCTGTTGGGTGGGGGAGAAGAAAAGAGGAATCACATAGAGCTTCTCTGAGAATAAAACAACTTAGTGAGAGGAAGAACCCAGAAACAGCATCCCAATAGTAGGGGAAAGGAATATACCTCAGTTATAGAGTGCTTACCTGGTATGTGCAAGGTCCTAGGTTCAATCCTCAATGACAACAACAACAACAAAAGAAGAAATAAGAAAAATCTTGATGACATTGTTGGAGATTTTGGATAGAGCTGCAATAAAGGAAGATATTCTCTGAACTTTTAAGATATATGAATCATTGTTACCTCTTATTGTTTAATATATTCAGAATTGAGTTTTCTGTCCCTTGAAACCCAAAGAGTCCTAATTGATACATACTTAAATCCTAAATTGTATGGTATCTACTCTAAATGTTTTGGTTGAGTGGGATTAACTAAATATAGTTAAGGAAAGGCCAGTCAGGGAAAGCTTTTATGAGTAAAATGGGTCTTGAATGAATTGGAAAGAGACAAGGAGAGAGAAAATTGGGGGTGAGGGGGGAAGTACATAACTAAAATCTTGGGGGTAGGAATGAGCACATTTTGTCAGTGGAGCCCTAGGGAGAGGAGGATAAGTGCCAGGGAGGACAAAGATGGGAAGTTAAGCTAAATAGGATGAGATTTTGAGAGAGTCTTGAAACTGGGGTAAAGGAATTTAATGTGCCCCAAATAGGAACAGATTGATAGTCAAGGAAGATTAGATCATGTTGAGAGTGGTTAAGGATGGAAGAACCTGATTAGAAAGACTGACTTTCTAAATTGATACATTAATACAGATCATAAGACATACAACAGTGGGGCCAGCAACGGTAAAGAAGAGATGGAAGGGATAGAAATGAGAGCAGTGTAAGTCGGGGAAACAGGTTTGCGTGGTTATGGATAATGAAGGCAAGTTACACATAGCTGACCTCACCCTTTGAAGTTAATAAGCAGGCAGGTAAATACTTAGTACAATTAATCAAAGTTAACACACTGGAAGAGGTGGGGACTTGGGGAGAAAAAAAAATTTCCCATCACCATTTCAGATGGGGATTCCCATTCTATTTCTGTGTTGTATTTCTACAACAAAGATAATAGTTTGGAAATATTTATCTGTTTGTTTCTCTTGATCTTAATTGCTACCATTATAGTCCAAGCCATCATTTTCTCTCACCTGAATTAAAATTTACTATTAAATGATCTTCCCATTTTATTGAAATCTCCTCCCCCTCCATATCAGGGGTCCCCAAGACCAAGCACAGTTTTAGCGAATTGCAAGGAAGACTCAGGGCTCAGAATATAATCATGCAGCTATGATTTATGATAGCAAAATGATCCAAAGCAAAATCAACAAAAAGAAAAGACATGTGGGGCAAAGTCCAGAGGAAATCAGGCCCAAACTACCAAGGGTCCTCTCCCACTGGAGTCAACATTGCACTGTGACAACATTAAGTGAAATGTTGCTAACTATGGAAGCTTATGAATGACTCTGCCCCCAGGAATTTTATTGGAAACTAGTCTCTTAATCACTGCCTGGCATGTGCCAAAATTCCAGATTCCTCAAAGGAAAGCAGATGGTTCTGAATTGCTGTGACTTGAATGTTTTAGTCCTCCCAAAATTCATGTGTTGAAAGCCTAACTCACAAGGCGGTGGTATTAGGAGGTGTGGCCTTTGTGAGGTGATTAAGGTCTTAGCGGCAGAGTCCTCATGAATGGGATTTGTGTCCTTATTAAACAGGCAAGAGACTCCTCATCCTTCCCACCATGCAAGGACACAGCAAGAAAGTGCCATCTATGAGTAACAGAGCCAGACCCCTAATTGATAAAGAATCTGCCAATGCTTTGGTCTTCGACTTCCCAGCCTCAAAAATTGTGAGAAACTTTTGTTGCTTATAAGCCTCTTAATTTATGATATTTTCTTACATCAGCCCACAAAGACTAATAAGATAATCATAAGGTATATTGTACAATTTACATACAATGAGTCATTCTTATCAGTTGGGTGATAGGAACCCTCCCCAAATCTAAGTTCCAGCCAAGGACCGACATGTAAGCTGGGCTTTCAAAGGATAATAATCAAGCCTGCTATGTAATTCTCTTCTGCACATCTTCCAACCTATTCTTCTGTCAATGGCTAGCAGGAATCTTCTTAAAATATAAATCAGAGTATGTGCATCATATACTTAGACTAAAATTCAAATTCTTTCCCATGGTGCATAAGTCCCCATTTAGCATCAAAACAGCATTCCTCTCTAAACTCTTGCCACTGTCCTCAGCATTACCCTCAAGCCACACTGGCCTCTAAGTTTCTAGAACATCACCACCAGATAGAATGTTCCATGATGATGAGAATGTTCTTCTACACTGTCCAGGTGTCCATTGGCGCCCACCAATCACATGTACCTATTGAGCATGTAAAATGTGAGGAACTGACTTTCTAATTTTATTTTAAATTTAAATAGCCACATATGATTAGTGGCTATCATATTGAGCAGGGCAATTCTAGAAGACATCAAAATTGTCCCATTTTAAGACCTTTCTTTGTGTATGTAGGAAATTAATGCAATGGTAGACTTCAATTATATTATCAGACAAGTTATCCCAAATATTGAAGAACAGGAGGGCTAACAGACTAAATTAAAATGCTTGAACCATACACACAGTTTATTAAATCAACTTAAAATACAGTGTAAAGCAAGGGGGAAAGAAATGGGATAATTTCAAATATTATGATGAAAGTATACAAGGAAGGTGGAAATATTAGAATTTCTGTGTTGCATCAGTCTTCTCAGCTGATGGGCCAGAGTGAGGTTCAAAGAAAGGGGTCACAGTGAGAAGTTTGCCTGGGGTCATGTATGGACATTTGTTCTACCAGAAGGACTCAGGAGAGACAAGTACACACGACTTCTAGGTCAACTCGCAAATGGACGTGTAGAACAAAACATGGCTTTTGTTTGTTTTTGTGGTGCTGGTTGAACACAGGGCCTCACACATGCTAGAAAAGCACTAAACTACTGAACTACATCCCCAACTCTACAAATATGGGTTTTATTTGGGCCATAAGTTTACATGTTTTGGTCAGAAGACACATGAACCAGAATAGTTATTACCAATGAATGGTTAAAACCTTATAAATAGGGGCTGGGGCTTGGGCTCAGGGTAGCACACTTGCCTGGCATGTGTGAGGCACTGGGTTTGGTTCTCAGCACCACATATAAATAAATAAAATAAAGGTCTATCAACAACTAAAAAAAATGTTTAACTTTATAAATATTAAACACTCACATATAGTCAGTCTATCCTGGACATTAACTGTTTGGTATACGTTTAATTTATTATGAATACTTAGTGCCTAGGTGTTTTGTGTATATTTATGCCTCATTAATATTAATTGCATTAATATTAATGTTAATCCTTTTATTTCCACCTACATTTAACATACATATGCTCCATCCACTAATTACTTAATACATTTGAGTTTCATCTATCTACTTTGTTTTTTTAATTTTCACCTGTAGCATAATTTACTATTCTCAAACAATATAACAAATGCACTTTACACCTCTACACATATTTCTTCTCTGTAAAGTGACCTTTATCTGGCTCATCCCATAATAAGCTCCTATAGATTCTTTAGGTCTCAATGAAAATGCCCCTTCTTCTGAGGCCCTCCCTGTGAGTTATAGATTAAATTTAATCCTCATCAAGTTCTTATGTTGAAGCCCTAACCCCCAATGTGACTGTATAAGGCCTTCCCAATTCAATAGAATTGATGTCCTTATAAGAAGAGGACAAGACATCAGACCTCTCTCAGTTTGTCTATCTGTATCTCTGTCTCTCTACACTTAAGACATTTCATGAGAAAATATAGCAAGAAATCAGCTGTCTACAAACCAGGAAGAAAGGCCTCACCAGAAAGCTAACTGATCTTGACCTTCTAACCTCTAGAATGATGAGAAAATAAGTTTTTGTCATTTAAACCACCCAGTCAGTGATCTATTGTTATGGCAGCCTCCATGTTACTTTTACTTACATTATTTCTGAAACCAAAAATGTGGGTTTTTTTCCCTCACACTAACCAATTCTTGAACTCTTCATATACCAACAGGTTATCAAATAATTCAATTGACTTCTGACCCAATCTGTCTGGATTCAGCAGCATATTCTACGAATTAAAGACTCAAACCTCAAAACTGCTCTCCCATTTCTGATGCCAGCTCAAGTCCTGATTGCTATCTATACTTCTGATCAACCAGCTATAACTTAGGTGTTCCCATTATTTCCTCTTCAGGTTTGATAATTTGCTAGAATGGCTCATGGTAATCAGGGAAACATTTTATTTGCTATTATGAAGTCTATTATGAAGACTATAACTCAGGAATAGCCAAGTGGAAGAAATGGATAAGGTAAACAGCCACATAAGTGGGGAGTGGAGCTTCTATGCCCTCTCTAAGCACTGATATGTTCACCAACCTGGAAGATCTCTGAATCCTGTCCTCTTGGAGTTTTATGGAGGTTTCAAAATTCATGGTGGAATCATACTAGGCAAGTGGTCTACTGCTGAGAGCCATGGCCGAGTCTGTATGGCCCCTGGCATTTTGCCAACAGTATTGATTGACAGGCGAGGCATTACTATCCGCCTCTGCCGCAACTTTTGAGTTCTCGTGGGGATTTCCGGGGAATCCCTGAGAGTTCCCATTGGTTGGGGAAGTGCAGGAGGAGGGATTTCCGGGAGAGATATTTCCGGCTGGGGGTTCCTGGACGAGCCGCGTGGCATTCGGGAGGATTCCCCGGGAGCTGTGTGAAGTGTTTTCCTGCAGTTCAAAAATAAAGTTTGTTCCTGCTTCAGTGGCTCGTGATTGGTGCCCAGCCAGACTGCGGCATTTGGCGGCCCGGCCCGTGCCGGGAACGTCTGAAGCTTCCGGGTAAGTGAAATTGCTTGCCCCTAAGGGAAGGCGAGAGAATGGGTGACCATTTTAAAAAACAATGTGTTCTTGTTTTGATTTGTTTTGTGTTTGTTTCAAGCTGCCTATCCCTAGAATTTTCTCAGGCAGATTGGGAAAAATGGTTGGCTCAAGGTTTGAAGTTGTTCACCCCTGAGGAAGAGATAGAAATAGACCACAAATGCACATATCAAGAAAATAGGAAAATTGATACAACGATTTTTTTGTTCCGTTTTTGTTTCATTCTGTTTCGGTTTTGTTTTGTGTTATCTTAATATTTATTTTTTAGTTTTCGGCGGACGCAACATCTTTATTTGTATGTGGTGCTCAGGATCAAACCCTGGCCGCACGCATGCCAGGCGAGCACTCTACCGCTTGAGCCACATCCCCAGCCCCTGTTTTGTGTTATCTTATTGGGTTGCATTATCTTTATAACAGATTAGAAATTAGTAAAAAACAAACTGAAAGAGTGTTAAGTAAATTGTTAGAGGTTCAGACCATGGAGAAAGACATTTTAGATCAAGCAAAAGAGAAGGTCTCTCAAGCTAGTCAGACAGAGGAAGAAAATTTAAAGGAAGAAAGCTTAGAGGAAAAACAGCTATTAGGGAAAAAGCTACAACAGGAGGCTGCTACTAACACCGTTCTATCACCAGAGGGCGTAATTCAACCAACAGCACCCCCTATGGAGATAGCTGAGTGGCCCTCAAACCCCGTGGTTGATAGATGGGATCCTGAGACAGGACCTCAAAGATTAGCATGCCCTGTACTTGAGCAGGCAGGAGGGCAGCGAATTCACCATGCTTTAGATTTCAAAACAGTGAAGCAGTTAAAGGAGGCTGTAACAACCTATGGTCCTCAAGCACCGTTCACTGTAAGCATGGTCGAATCCATTACCAACTTGGACATGACGCCAGCAGATTGGGCTAGTATGTGTAAATCTGTGCTAAATGGAGGACAATATTTGTTATGGAAGGTTGCCAATGAGGAATTTTGCAGGGAGACAGCTAGGCGAAATTTAGCAGCCGGTTACCCTCAAAGAAATCTAGATATGTTGTTAGGAAAAGGACCTTATGAGGGTCAACGGCAACAAATTGAATATGATCCTGGCATATACGCACAAATTGCTGTAGATGCGGTTAGGGCATGGAAAACTTTACAGGGGCATGGAGGTTTACAAGGTCAATTATCTAAGGTAATACAAGGAACTAATGAACCTTACGCTGAATTTGTAGATAGGCTTATTCAAGCAGCTTCCAGAATTTTTGGGGATACAGAACAGGCAATGCCATTTATAAAACAACTGGCTTATGACCAAGCAAATCGTTGCTGCAGAGAGGTCATTAGACCATGGAGACATGAAGATTTAAACACATATATTATTATTTTTATTTATTTATTTATTTATTTATTTTTTTTTTAGTTTTCAGTGGACACAACATCTTTGTTTGTATGTGGTGCTGAGGATCGAACCCAGGCCGCACGCATGCCAGGCGAGCGTGCTACCGCTTGAGCCACATCCCCAGCCCCACATATATTAAATTATGTAGAGACATTAATGAACAAGGGCAAGTCTTAGCAGCAGTACAACAGGCTTTAGATGCCAGGCCAAAAACATGCTATAATTGTGATCAAACAGGACATTTTAAAAGGAGTTGCCCCATAGGAGGAGGGTTTAACAAAGCTAGGTATCAAAGGAATAGAATACCGGGTATTTGCCCACGATGCCGTAGAGGGAAACATTGGGCTAATGAATGCCGTTCTCAAACCACCATAGAGGGTATTCCGTTATCAAAAAACAGACAAGGACCAAGTGTTTACCCACGATATCGTGGAGAAAGGCATCGGGCTCCATTGTCAAAAAACGGACAGGGGGGCCCAATGCTCCGGGGCCCACGACCACAAATGTACGGGGCACTGGAGGAACCCAGAAACACCATGGAGGAACCCAGCAACACCATCAGGGTAGTGCCCAGGACGCATTATCCATCAGATCTCTCATCAGACGAACCAGAGGGAGCGCAGGGTTGGACATCTGCGCCTCCGCCAGAGCAGTACTAACTCCAGAGATGGGAGTTCAAATCATTCCCACAGGAGTAAAAGGACCTCTTCCCCAAGGAACAGTAGGCTTATTATTGGGACGCAGTTCTTCAACACTAAAAGGACTTATGATAAGTCCTGGGGTAATTGATCCCGATTATGAAGGTGAAATAAAAATTATAGCTAGTTCTCCAAAGGGTATATCAGTAATTTCACCAGGAGATAGAATAGCACAGTTATTAATAATACCCAGCCTACATGATAAATTTTCCAGTAGTACTATAGAAAGAGGTTCCAGGGGATTAGGCTCCACAGGTGTAGATTGGGCTATGCTGTCTTTAAATTTAGATTCTCGCCCCATGCTAAAACTAAATATTCAAGGACATGAATTTAATGGGCTACTGGATACAGGTGCAGACCTTAGCATCATATCTCGTCAAGAATGGCCAAAACATTGGCCGTTACAACAAGCCACTCAAACGCTTCGAGGCCTAGGAGTGGCAACTAATCCCCATAGAAGTGCAATGGTATTAGATTGGAAGGATCTTGAAGGATGTGAAGGAACTATACAGCCATATGTATTGGATCATCTTCCTATAAATTTATGGGGATGAGATGTCCTAGATCAATTAGGTTTGACATTAACAAATAACATCAATCCAAATGCGCCCACTATTAGGGCTAGACAAGGTTTCAGGAAAGAAAAAAGATTAGGAGAACAACGCATAGCAGCACCAATTCAAATAGATCAAGGAATAAATAGACATGGACTGGGTTTTCAGAAGGGGTCACTGAGGCAATAAAAATTACTTGGAAATCAGATAGACCAGTATGGGTTCCTCAGTGGCCCCTGACTAAAGAAAAGATACAAGCAGCCCATGACCTGGTCAAACAACAATTAGCGGAGGGACATATACAACCTTCCGTATCTCCTTACAATACTCCCATTTTTGTCATTAAAAAGAAATCTGGTAAATGGAGATTATTGCAAGATTTAAGAGCCATTAATAATGAGATGGTTATTATGGGACCTGCCCAATCGGGGATTCCTCAATTGTCTGCTTTGCCAAAAACCTGGTACGTTTTAGCTATAGATATTAAAGATTGTTTTTTTTCAATTCCAATCCATCCTGAGGATAGTCCACATTTTGCATTTACTATCCCTGCACTGAATCATGAAGGTCCTGATCAGAGATATGAATGGAAAGTACTCCCTCAAGGGATGGCTAACAGCCCAACTATGTGTCAAATTTATGTTAACAAAGCAATCCAGCCACTTAGAAATCAAAATCCTAAACTACAAATATTTCACTATATGGATGATGTATTGTTAGCACACAAAGATAAAAACACATTGCTAGAATGTTATGCCACACTTACAAATTTATTAAAAAATTATAATCTAGAGATAGCAATAGATAAAGTACAATTAAATTTTCCAATTAATTATTTAGGAGTTCTATTATCCTCAACCATGGTCCGTCCACCAAAAATTCAAATACGAGTAGATCAACTCAAATCACTTAACGACTTTCAAAAGTTATTAGGAGACATAAATTGGATAAGGCCTTATCTAGGCATACCAACAGGAGAGTTGGGACCTTTATTTGATATCCTAAAAGGTCCATCAGATCCAAATTCACCCCGAATGTTAACGCCTGAAGCAAGAAAGGCATTAAAAATTATTGAAACATATATGGAAAATATGCATTTGGATAGAAATGATATAAGTTTGCCTTTATTATTTATTGTAATACCAACAAAAAATATTCCTACAGGAGTATTTTGGCAAGAAGGTCCATTATTGTGGATACATTTATCTTATTCTCCTAACACTATTCTTACTAGGTATCCTGAGGCTGTAGGACAATTAATACTCAAAGGAATAAAAGCAGCAAAGGGAGTGTTTGGAATTTCTCCCAATAAAATTATTACTCCATATACTATGGATCAAATTGATGAGTTAGCTAATGAGTTAAATACTTGGGCAATAATCATGTGTAATCTAATGTTTCATTTGATAATCACTTACCATCTAATCCTTTGTTGTCTTTTTGGTCTTCGCATCCTGTAGTTTTTCCAAAAATGACAAGAAAAACCCCTATCATGAATGCTCCAAATGTATTCACTGATGGGTCAAATAATGGTACAGCAGCAGTAGTTACCCCTGATCAAACTTTTACATTTTTAGTACCCAAACAATCAGCTCAAAAGGTAGAGCTTAATGCAGTTTTACAAGCTTTTGTGATGTTTAAAGATTCTGTATTTAATTTATTCCCTGATAGTCAGTATGTAGTTAATGCTATAGTATCTCTTGAAGATGCTGGTAGGATTTCCCCTTCTTCTACTGTTTTCTCTTTGCTTTCCACTATACAAAGTCTAATCTGGGACAGAAAAGATCCATTCTTTATAGGACATATCAGAGCACATACAGGATTGCCTGGAGCCCTTAGTTTGGGCAATGATTTAGCAGATAAAACTACACATGACATACATATTTTCTCTACACTAGAAGAAGCTACACATTTTCATAAAAGGTTCCATGTCAATGCTAATACTTTACAAAAGCGTTTTAAAATAACTAAGGAACAAGCTAGACAAATAATAAAACAATGTCAAAATTGTATGACCTTTTTACCACAAGTTAATTTTGGAATCAATCCTAGAGGACTGATACCTAACCATATTTGGCAGATGGACGTCATACACTTGCCACAATTTGGAAAATTAAATATTTGCATGTTACAATTGATACTTCTTCCGGATTTTTGATGGGCTCCCTTCATTCCGGAGAAAAAACTAAAGATGTTATAGCTCATTGCTTACAAAATTTTGCCACTGTGGGCGTTCCAAAACAGTTAAAAACAGATAATGGTCCTGGTTATACTTCTACCTCTTTTAAACAATTTTGCTCATCATTTGGCATTACTCATATAACAGGAATCCCATACAATCCTCAGGGACAAGGCATAGTTGAAAGAGCTCATCAAACTATTAAAATGTACTTACTAAAGCAAAAAGAGGGAATTGGAAAGGGGTATATATCACCCAAAGATAAACTTAAAATAACCTTTTTACTCTAAACTTTTTAAATTTGGATTCATCAGGGCTTAGTGCTGCGGAAAGGCATATGTGTCCAAAAAATGTACATAAGCCTAAGGTACTTTGGAAGGATATTCTAACAGGACAACGGAAAGGTCCTGACCCAGTGATTGTCTGGAGTCGGGGTTCTGTTTGTGTTTTTCCACAGGGAGAACAGCAGCCGATTTGGATTCCAGAGAGATTAACTAAAACAATTTCTACAGACCAAAAGTAAGATGATTTGAATCAAATCCATAATAGCTGATATCCAGAACTCCAGTTTGGCTATTCTTACATCTGCGACAGTGATTAACCAGGATGCTTTTTTCAATATTTATTTTATTATTTGCCTTTTCCCACATCATAAAGTTCTATTTTATTTTCGAGCTCATACAGACCTAGGTTAATGTTTTTCTGATCAGTTTTATTTTTTGACTGTGGAGTTTTTAAGCATTGCAATGGAGATTTCACCTAGGTAAAGCTACAAGGCCTTTACTATTGTCTTATTGTTGTATGTTATGTGTGCACACTTCTGTTTTGTGTTGTATGTCTGTATGTGCGTATGTCCATATATCATATATGAGGAGCGCTCATGAATAAATAGATCCGAATTTTTTTATTCATGTGATTTTAATGGTTTAATTTAGATTGGGTAAACAGCTGTTGAAAATTGTTTTAATATGTGAACAAATAAGGAGGTTAACAGATCTGTTTGTTTACTTTCACCTTTCCTTCTCATTATATTTAATAGTTCTGTTCAGGATAATGTAAATTGTTCAAAAAATTGTTTTCTTAGTGCCTGTTGGAATGTTACATAATTTTTTTCTTAGCATCATTGCCAGAATTCCTATCTTCATCCCAGTGCCGGTGAAGACAAAGATAAAACCAAACTACAGCTTCTTCGATAGTTATCACAACAAACTGTAAAAACTGATGCATCAATGAATAATAACTCAACAAGTAATGCTCAATTAAGGAGTCGATTTACTTTGGGAGGAAATGGACATATTGACAGATTCCTCTGCTTTGAATTGCTTGCAGAACTTGCCTGGACTATGTATCACTTGTATGCATTGTGAACTATCTGTTGGTACAGCGAATTGTGGTAGTGCTGGAGTATTTTTGCTGATGGTGTCACCGGTGGTACAATTTTTCAAAGGAGCCCTCAATTGGCTTAGTGTCATGGCATTTTGCATCCTCCTCCCTTCTACTAGTGATGTTCTAAAATTTGGGGGCCAACAGAGGTGAGGCAAAGAACCTCACCCCCCCCACTGGTGCAAAGGCCTATCCACAAGTATGGCTGTATGCTGGACCGGTAGTCAGTGACGGGTATGATCCAATTGCAGTGGTACCAACCTAAGACAGGAGGCTGACGCCTAGAGGTCAGTTCATCCGATGACGGGTAAGGACCATATGTTGAATTGGACTGCCTAACAGGCACGGTCCCTAAGCCACATTGCTTGTTGTTTAATTAAACAAAAAGGGGGAGATGCTGAGAGCCACGGCTGAGTCTGTATGGCCCCTGGCATTTTGCCAACAGTATTGATTGACAGGCGAGGCATTACTATCCGCCTCTGTCGCAACTTTTGAGTTCTCGCACTATTTTGGAGTTCTCGTGGGGATTTCCGGGGATTCCCCGAGAGTTCCCATTGGTTGGGGAAGTGCAGGAGGAGGGATTTCCGGGAGAGATATTTCCGGCTGGGGGTTCCTGGACGAGCCGCGTGGCGTTTGGGAGGATTCCCCGGGAGCTGTGTGAAGTGTTTTCCTGCAGTTCAAAAATAAAGTTTGTTCCTGCTTCAGTGGCTCGTGATTTGTGCCCAGCCAGACTGCGGCACTCTACCACAGCCCCAATATATTAATTTTTTGAGGAACCTCCATACTATTTTCTATAGCAGTGGCACCATTTTACATTACAACCAACAATGCATAAGTGTTCTATTTCTCCACATCCTTGTTGAAATTGGATCTTCCTTGTTCTTGCCATTCCTCCCTTATTTGCTCCTGCCTTGCTTCTCTCTCTTCTTTTTTTGGGGGGTGAGGGGCTATCCGGGATTCAGCTCAGGGGCACTCAACCACTGAGCCACATCCCCAGACCTATTTTTTTTTTTTTTTGTGTGTGTGTGTGTGTGTATTTTATTTAGAGACAGGGTCTCACTGAGTTGTTTAGTGCCTCACTTTTGCTGAGGCTGGCTTTGAACTTGCAATCCTCCTGCTTTGGCTTCTTGAGCCGCTGGGATTACAGGTGTCCCTCACTGCACTGCACCTCGCCTTCTTTCTCTCATTCTTAATGATAGCTACCCTAATAGATATGAAATTGTATGTAATCATGGCTTTGATTTGCAATCTCTAATGATTAGTGATTTTGAGCATCTTTTCATGTGGTGATTTGACTATCTGTTTATTCTCTTTGAATAATTTCAAGTCCTTTTTCTGTTTTTGAATTGGGTTGTTTTTATGTTGTAGAAATTCTTTATATATATTCTAGCTATTATTATCTTATCAGATAAATGTTGGCTAATATTGCCTCCCATTCTATGAGTTGCTTTTTCACTCTATTGGAGGTATCCTTTGATACACAAAAATTTAATTTTGATTAAGTCCAGTTTTATTGATTTTTTTCCTTTGCTGTCTGTGCTTTTGGTGTATATCTAAGAAATTATTGCCACATACAATGTCATAAAGTTTTATTCAGTGTTTTCTCCTAAGAATTTTGTAGTTTTGATTTTAATGCTTAGATCTTTGACCCATTTTGAATTATAAATTGAATATGATGTCAGATATTGATGTTGTAAGAATGCAACTTCATTGTTTTCCATGTTGATATTCAGTTTTCCCAGAATTATTGTTGAAATGTCTGTCCTTTCTCCATTGACTGGTCTTACACTCATATTAAAAATCATTTGAAAAAAAAATCATTTGAACATGTATGCAACAGTTTATTTCTGGACTCTCTGTCTTTATGCCACTCCTGCACTGTTTTGATTATTGTAGCTTTGTAGTAAGTTTTAAAATCAGGGAGTATGAGTCTTCCAACTTCATTATTGAAACTAAATTTTTAATCCACCATCTTTTTAAAATTTGTTCTTTTTAGATAGACATGACAGTAGAGAGTATTTTGATATATTATACATATATGGAGTATAACTTCCCATTCTTGTGATTGTACATGATGTGGAGTTACACTGGTTGTGCATTTGCATATAAACACAGAAAAGTTATGTCTGATTCATTCTACTGTCTTTCCAATTCCTGTTCCCTCTTCCTTCTCTTCATCCCCCTTTGTCTAATTCAATGAACTTCTATTCTTCCCTCCCAACCCCCTTATTGGGTATTAGCATCTGCATATTAGAGAGAATGTTTGGCCTTTGGTTTTTTGGGATTGCCTTATCTCAGCATGATAGTCTCAGTTCCATTCATTTACTGGCAAATGCCATACTTTCATTCTTCTTTATGGCTGAGTAATATTCCACTGTGTATACACCACATTTTCTGTATCCATTCATCTGTTGATGGTCACCTAGGCTAGTTCCATTGCTTAGCTATTGTGAATTGATCTGCTACAAACATTGATGTGGCTGTGTCACTATAGTGTGATGTTAATCCACTATCTTAAATCATTCATAGGAGTTGTCATCTCAGTGACAATGTAAAAATACCTGTTCATATCTGTTATTTATAATGAGAACTAATCCTCTTTGTAAATTCTTAACAGGACAGTGTCCAGGAACAGCAGTCTTAGGTTGGCATCTTTGTATTTCCTTTATTCTTCCTAGACAAAGCTCTTACTCACGACTGAATTACAATTTGCAGTATCCTAGTCTTCTGTTCAGGCTGGCACTGCTGTACTGGGAAATCCGCCAAAGAAGACTTCCTGGATTCAGTTTCATTTAGGTAATTCTTTTACTTTGTACAGATTCTATTAGTTTTCCTAGAATAGAGAAGAGAATAAACATATTCAAAACAAGTTGCTTGGGATTTTTCTCAGGCAAGGTTAGACTAATAAAAAACAAAAATCAATGAGGGAAAAATCATGACAGAAAGCTGAAGCCAGACTCTGGTAACTGAAGAGGAGCCTTGGTTGTTTTAAATGATAAAAGGAGAATCAAGGATATTTTTGTGTGACCTTTGAGATTCTCTTTCCATTATAGGTTGTGCTGAAGAAAAATCATAGTTTGAGATACTTCTTCGTATTTTGCTTTTCTCCTAACAGAGTGAGACAGTGAAAAAGAATGTTGGGTTATGTCTAAGAGGTATGTCTGAAGGCATTTTGTACTGACTCTATATGAGAACAAAGGCATTGGTTTGCTAAGCTACAAATTCCTTTACCATGTGTTGAGACAATCAATACATTTCCAAGAACTCTAATAGCTTGTGGGGAGCCAGTCTGAATGATTTGCATTCTCCTTCCCTGAATGGAGAGGCTTCTGATTGTCACTACATCTTGTAGTGACCTGGACATTGCCCCAGTCTCGGAGATTGAGGACGCCTCTTCAGATGTAGGCATGTCGCCCCATGGATTGAGCTACACTCACCTGTTCCTTTGTGATATTACCCCTTTGCCCTGTTTGGGATAGAACGTTCCATGGAAACGCCCTTTGTGTGTCTCTTTCTCTTGCTCTGCCTTTGGGTGTGGCTTTCCTAAATGTCAGTCAACCTGCTGGCAGCAGACATCAGGAAGCTAGACTCAACCTCCTGAAGCCTGACCACATGCCTCATTTGAATGGCTTCTCCTCAATAAAAGGATTTAGCATGTATGCTCTCTCTCTCTTTCTGTGGACCTTTATGGTCAGAGGAGCCATCACAGGAACCCAAAGAAAAAGGTATCTCTGTCTCTTGTGTGGTTATTTCGTGTAGCCCAGTTCCCCCGGAGTGACCCTGAGTGTTTTAGTCGTGAGGAATGTGACAATAGCTCTAATAATATTATAAGATGTTTAACGTTTTCTAAATATTATTTCTTTAATTCCCTAATTCTCAGAGAATTGTGTAAAACCCATCTATATACATAGGTTTCTTTTTTATCTGCCCTGCTAAATTATTATTTCCTAGAAATATACTCTCTCTCTCTATGTGCGTATGTGTGTGTGTATCTTATATTGTGTGCATGTATGAATATATAACAATGAATCCCACTATTACATATGATTATAATGCAGCAATAAAAATATGGAAAAAAGGAAAACATATCTTATTCAGCTTATTCCTCACAGTTCACTTTATCTTTCTTTTTTATTTTTCCTTTTTTAGCAGTGCTGGGGATTTAACCCAGGGAATTCTACCACTGAACTACATCCCCAGCTATTTTGTTTTAAGACACAGTCTCACTAAGGGAAAAAAAAAAAAAAGAATCTCACTAAGTTGCATAAGTTGCAGAGGCTGTCCTTGAATTTGAGATCCTCCTGCCACAGCCTCCCGAGTAGTTGGGATTACAGGCATGAGCCACTATGCCTGGCTAGCACTATATCTTTCATAAGTTAAATAAATATTTGAAAGAAGAGAGAATGAATTCAATTATCTATTTTTGTTTTAAAGATTATTTTTCAAGAAGTCTTGTTTCTTGTGAGATAAATATTCTTTAGCTCAATGATAATGATTACATTATGGCTCTAAGAAGTCCCATTTCCTTCCTGCATTTTGCCCATCTCTATCCCCTTCAGTTAAAGAATGGCTGATGGGGCTGGGGATGTGGCTCAAGCGGTAGTGTGCTCGCCTGGCATGCGTGTGGCCCGGGTTCCATCCTTAGCACCACATACAAACAAAGTTGTGTCCGCCAAGAACTAAAAAATATAAATAATAAATATTTAAAAATTCTCTCTCTCTCTTTCTCTAAAAAAAAAAAGAATGGCTGATTAGGTCTGTGTTTCATATGTACTAATCTCCTTATCAAATGACTGTTCAGCCACATTCAGTGTTCTCTTCAAAATAAGCTTTTTTCTTTTTCATTTTTTAAAATTATGAATAGGTTGAGAAATTTTTCCAAATCTTTGAGTTCTGGTTCCTTCTTGCTTAACAATTCCACTTTCTTTTTTTTAAAATATTTTTTTTTAGTTGTAGTTGGACACAATACCTTTATTTTATTTATTTAATTTTATGTGGTGCTGAGGATCAAACCCAGCAACTTACACACCTAGGCGAGCGCTCTACCGCTGAGCCACAACCCAGCCCTAACAATTCCTCTTTTAATTGTTTTTTTTCTTCATGCCTTTTACTATAAACAGTGAAGAAGCACTAAGGCACTGCTTCAACACTTTGCTTACAATCTCCAGTTAAATATTCAGTTGGATATTTAGCTTTCTAAGACCTCATCAAAACCATCATCCTTAATACCTATATTTCTAATATGCACCTCAAAATCCCCCCTGCCCTTACCCATTATTCAATTCCAAAGTTGCTTCTACATTCTTAGATATTGTTATAGTAGCATCTTACTCTCAGATTCAAAATCTATATTAGTCTGAGTTCCCCAGAGAAACAGAACTACTAATAATTTACATAGGCAAACCCATATAAAATAAGGAATCAGCTCACAGTTATTGAGGCTGGTCTTTAGTTGGTAAACTGGAGACCGAGCAAAGCCTAAGATAAGAGTTCTACTCTAAGTCCAAAGGCCTGAGAACTGATGGTACAAGTTCCAGACCAAGTCTGAGTCAGAAGGCTGATGACCAATGTCCAAGCTCAAAGGCAGTCAGGCAGAGAGCAAATTCTCCCTTACTCAGCTTTTTTTTTTTTTCCTGTTCAGGCCCACTCACACTGGGGAGGGGAATCTGCTTTATTCAGTGTACATATTTTCTAATGTTAATCTCATCCAAAATGCCTTGTAGACACACCCAGAAAAATGTTTAACCAAATATTTGTGCACTTCATGGTCCAGCCAAATTGATACATAAAATTAATTATCATAGTGGACTAGCAATTTCTTTCTTTTTTAAATATTTTATTTTTTAGTTATAGTTGGACACAATACCTTTTTTTTACTTATTATTATTATTTTTTTATGTGGTGCTGAGGATCTAACCCAAGGTCTCTCACGTGTGAGGCGAGCGCTCTACCACTGAGCCACAACCCCAGCTCTGGGCTAGCAGTTTCTATCACAAGATATATTGGTGAAAACATTAAATTTTATTTTCCTTCTGTTTTAGCTGAGAGTTTTTTCTTGATATAAAAAACTTGTTTAATTTCAAAGATGTTACACAGATAAAGAAAATGAAATGTTTAATTCCAAGAAAAAAATTCCCTCTATACCAGGACTTTTTTTTCCTACTCCAGTGGCCTTTTAAATTTTTTGCATATAGTCTATAAAAACAGTACCATTTCTTATATTTTGTTTGTAACCTACTATTTTCAACTTAAAATACATGCTTTGATGGTGGATGCCTGTAATCCCAGCTATTCAGGAGGTCAAGGCAGGACAATCACAAGTTTGAGGCCAGTCTCCATAATTTAGCAAGACCCTCTCTCAAAATAAAAAATAAGGGGCTAGAGGTACAGTTTACTAATAGAGTTCTTACCCAGAATGTGTGAAGCACTGGGTTGAATCCCCAGCACTCTGGAAAAAGAAAAAAGACTAAAAATAAAAAAGACAGATGAGGATGTAGCTCAGTGGTGGAACACCTCTGGGTTCAATCCCCAGCACCTTAAATAAACACAAATACTATATATACTATATATGTATATATATATATATATATACACACACACACATATATATATATATATATTTCAAACACTTTCTAAAATATTAATCTGTGACATTTTTATTCACTGCATAATAGTCTTTTAAATGGATATATATTTTTCAATCAATTTCCTTTTACCGAACATTTATTTATCTATTTAATTTTTGGTCCTGGGGATTGAAAGAAGGAGTCCTAAGGAACATTCCCAGTCCACTTTTTATTTTGAAACAGTGTATCACTAAGTTGCTGAGGTCTTGCTAAATTGCTGAGGCTGGCTTTGAACTTGTGATCCTCTTGCCTCAGCCTCCTGAGTCACTAGGATTATAGGGGTACACCATCATACCCAGTCCTCATTGTTGAATAAATAGGTGGTTTCCAATTCTTCAGTATTATAAACAACTCTTTTTTAAAATATTTTTTTAGTTGTAGGTGGACACAATACCTTTATTTTATTTGTTTATTTTTATGTGGTGCCAGGGATCAAACCCAGTGCCTCATGCATGCTAGGCAAGCATTCTACCACTAAGCCACAACCCCAGCCCTATAAACAACTCTTTTATACTCTTAATATTTCTTTTTTTTTCTTTACACATTTTTATTGGTATATTAGTTTAGTATCTCTTAATGTTTTAATTATGAAAGCAATATAGGCCCTCTCTAACTAACATAATATGGAAGTTGGTAAAATAAAAAGCAAAATTCCCTATTTTATTCACCTGTACTTGTATTTTCCAACACTTCTATTCTCCATGAGGCAAATAATACAACTACTTCTAATGGTTTACTGTGTATCTTTCTCTTTTTGCTTCCTGCTTTTTTTCTTTTACATTTATTCTATAACCTGTAAATCTTTTGTTTTGTTTTTCATTCTCAGCCTCAAGTAGCCTCTTTGCTCTTCTGCTTAGTTTGGGATATCAGACAAACATATTTGTTAGAATTATATGTAAAATTCAGACAAAAAAATACATGAGAGAACGCCTCACATCTCTCTAATTAAAAAGCATGAAGTTTACTGATTACCTTTTCTGCTTCGAATTTCAGCTGCTATTAGGTCTGTGAAATCTGCTTCCTGGTACTGTGTCAGACAGTTGGAAAAGTAACCTTCAAATAAGTAAAGTGTTAATACATTTACTTTTCATAAGCTAAGGGTGCACTACATTTAAGAAAATCTAAAGCCAGTTGTGGTGATGCACATGAGGCAGAAGTAGGAGCATCACAAGTTGGAGACTAGACTTGGGAACTTAGTGAGACCTTAGTGAAACAGGGCTGGGGATGTGGCTCAGAGGTACATCACCCCTAGATTAAATCCTCGGTACCACACACACATACAAAAAGATTTTATATTAACTTTTCATGTGTTTACACAACTGACCATGAAGGGAAATTCTGTAGAACAAGTGAACAGTGATATATGTTATATGAGATGTGTATATATATTTATGTGTGTGTGTGTGTACTTTTTCACTCCCAGTAGATATTTACTAAAGTATCTGCCATGTGCGAGGTACTGTAAACATATTTAAAATGTAAAGATGAAAAAATACAAAGCTCTTCCAATTTTTTAAAGATTTCATGAACACTGTTGAGGAAGCACCTAATAGTCTTTGGTTCGGTCTTACCTTCAAAATCTGCATTAGAACATTTTGTCTTTCAGAGATAACACAATACTGGCCTTTGTGCATTTCTCTACATATTTTCTTGCCACTGCATTGTAGTTATGTCCCAGGAGCCTTGGTCACATTTGGCTCAGAAGCAAGAGGGAAATCCCCTTGTTGTCCAACCAGATGGATACCTAAGGCATTTATTCTCCCTGCAGGTCCTTTTGGTAAAACCAAGCCCAGAAATCTGACATTGCAATTCCTTCCTCCCTCCCCACATTCCTACCCTTTCTCTCCTATGAAAATTACTGAAATGCCAGGAGTTTGGTTAGGGGTGATAGAGAAGTCAGGAATGTTTTTATTCAGTGTTCAGTGTTCAGTGTTCTTGGTAATACTAGAAGAGCAGTAGAGCCATGAATCCAGTCATGCTCTTGGCTAAAGCAGCCTACCCTGACTTTAGTGCTCCTCACATGAAAAAAAGACTTAGGGCTTTAGCTGATGATAAACACAACCTAAGCCAACAATGTGACCTAACTGCCAAAACAAGCAAATGTGATCTGATCTGAATTGCCATTAATAGAAGGTTAGTGGCTGGGACAAGCAAAGTAATAGTCCCTTGTTATATTCTTCGGTAGCCAGGTCATACCTGGAGGATGGTATTTCCTCTATATTTTAACAGCCATGCTAAGAAGTTGGAGTATGCCCAAGTTGGGCAATAGGATGATGAATGGCCTAGAAACTACATCCTTTGAGGAACAGTTGGAGGATCTGGGGTAGTTTACCCTGGAAACTAGAAGACATGGTGACGTGGGATAACTATTTTGGAACATTCACAGGACTATCATGTAGAAGAGTTGGACTGTTCTGTGTAATCTCAGCAAGCCCAACTTAGACTGATGGGTGTACATTACAAAGTGTCTGATCTCTTTTCTCCATAAAAGGAGGAAATTTCTAGACCTTATGAACATTTGAAAACAGCAGCTCTGAAAGGTAGTGACTTAACTTTAACTTGGGGGGTGTAAGAAAAGAGGTTGACTGAACATCAGAAGATGAAAGGATAGGAGAGGAAGTTTGAAGAGATGACCTGATCCAAAATCCTTCCAGAGTCAAAGATTCTAATGACAAAAACTTAAGAAGGTGTTACTCTTTTTTCCTCCCAGGTTCCATACAAGTATTAACCTTAGAAACTGTTCAAATAGACTCTAAGGATTCTGTGTATGAAGGTTTAAGTAATAAAATGTGCATGTTTTCCAAAACAGACTGAAGGTTTTTTTTCCATTAAAAAACTCTTGGGCTGAGGTTGTGGCTCAGCGGTAGAGCACTCGCCTATTGTGTGTGAGGCCTTGGGTTCGATCCTCAACATCACATAAAAATAAATAAATAATCAAAATAAAAGTATTGTGTCTAACCAAAAAATAAATATAAAAAAACCCTCTCTATATTCTTGGTGAGCTTGATTTCTCATAAAATGTCTGATCCTCTTAATATGTTGTTTTTAAAAAATAAATATATTTTTTATAACTTTATTTCCTTTATTTTTTATGTGGTGCTGAGTATCGAACCCAGGGCCTTACCCATGCCAGGCAAGCACTGTACCACTGAGCTACAGCCCCAGCTCCTTAATATGTTGTTTCAAGGGTACAATATTGTGATAAGATTAACTTTTTTTAAAATAATTTTTTTAAAGATGGGCACATATCTTTATTTATTTATTTTTATGTGGTGCTGAGGATTGAACCCAGTGCCTTATGTGTGCTCTATCGATAAGCTATGACTCCAGCCCTGATAAGATTACCTTTAGCCCAATATTATAAAGCAGCATTTCAGAGAATGGCAGTTTGTGGCCAAATGTCAAAGAACTAGCCCTGTGGAGCAACTGGTCTTTGGAGGTCATTAATCATTAATAATGAAGTAGCATCCAGTAAAATGTGTGTGTTAGGATAGCTTGACTCTCCCCAACAGTTAATGAAGTAATGGTCATTCTCATTTACCAATGCACAAACTGGGGCCCAGAGCTTCTTGCCCACCATGATCATGCATGGGGCTGGCATTAGTATCCAGACTGACTTTTGGTCCAATCCTCTTTCTTATATTGACTATTTTCTTCTATATAGTATGTTTAGAACCTTTCATGAAGGCAGAATATAATGTTCCTCTCTTCTTTTTTTAAGAATATTTTTTTTAGTTGTAGTTGAATACAATACCTTTATTTATTTATTTTTATGTGGTGCTGAGGATTGAACCCAGGGCCTCACACATGCGAGGCAAGTGCTCTACCACTGAGCCACAACCCCAGTCCACATTTTCCTCTCTTAATGATAGTGGTTCTGTGGAGTAGGCTGGCAGGTTGACTTGATAAATAATGTCTTTAGTTCATCTTTTATCCTAAAGAAAGTTTCTAGCAGACACCAATACTGATGTCTGAGAACACTTGACCATCTCTTTAAAAATAAAGATTCCAACACTTACTCCAAATAAAAATTACAAGGATGTGGAGAGGGTAGTGTTTGTCCAATGGAGTAGATTTAACTGGGTAGTGCAGCAAAAATACTTATGAGATCAGAATGAGTCAGAAAACCTGGGTTTAAGTTTGTTTTGTTACCTTGCTGCCTATTAATGTGACACATTCTTCACGTGGGGCTTCAATTTCCTAATAGTTATATAGGACTTTTGGGGTATTTGGGAATATTAGATATGATAGTAAGTATAAGAGTATAAACATTATGCTGTTTTAAAAAATATGTTTATTGTATATTCTCATCAATTGTTTTCTACCCATTTTTCTCTTGGGGTATTATTGTATTTTCTCTTTACTTTCACTCCTGTTTATTGCCAGCATAGTAGGTGCTGTAGGTGCTGTAGCAATAATCAGTAATAATTCAACAGAACAAGTGCCTCTGGGTGCAGCCTAGTGCTGATCTCAGAAAATACATAAAAGCCTGAGACCAGCCCTTGTCCCAGTGTGCAGACAGCATGATCCACAAGTTGCTGTGAAAGTCAACCTGTAGACCAACAAAGGTGGGAGAGGCCTCAGTAGAGAGGGAACAGCTGAGGGAAGGTACAGCTCAAGGTTGGAGTTGTCATACTTGTTGGGCCAGTAATGTAACCTCTCAAAACCTGAATTTCCTTATCTTTAAAGAGAAATAAATAATGCCTACCAACTTACGAGGATGTGAGGATTCAAAAGTAATATATGGCTAGGTGCAGTGGCTCACGTCTATAACCTCAGCTATTAGGGAGGCTAATGTGGGAGGATCCTATATATAAAATATAAAAAATAAGGGGCTGGGTTTATAGCTTAGTGGTAGGGAGCTTGCCTAGTATGTGTGTGGCAATGAGTTCGATTCTCAGCATCACATATAAATAAAATAAAATAAAGGTCCACTGAAGACTAAAAAAAAAATTACAAAAAATAAAATAAAAAGGGCTGGAGATGTAGTTTAGTGTTAGAGCGCCGGTGGGTCCAGTCCTCAGTGTGGAGGGGTGTAAATAATATGTGTAAATATTGGTACTTGAACCGGGCACATCAAATGGCACAGGGTGAGAGTTTAATAATGTTTGCCATTGTTAATGCCGTTTAAATAATTTAATACTACCTTACTGTGATGGTCAATGCTGTCATTCCAAGAATAAGTCATTGCCTGGTCGTTGGACGGAGAACGAGAGTGGCAAAGATTCATACGCCACGGGTTCAGTCTTCAGGAGCTTTAAGACGAGGCCAGCTTCACAGACCGAGACAGGCAGCATCGTGAGGTCTCCAGGTCCGCGCGCTGGCTCTGGGAGACCCAAGCCGAACCCGGCTCCCAGGGTCTGGTGGCCTGAGGCCCCGCCCCTACCAAGCGGGTTCCCGGCGGCTGCCGTAGCGGCTGCTGCGCGTGCGCCGAGCCGCGCGCTCTGCGGCGCGGTCCACGGTGGAGGCGGTGCGAACAGCGAAGGGGCGGCCGATGGCTCTGCGGGGCCCAGCTGGCTTGGGGCCCGGCTCCCGCGGGCCGTTGGACGAGGCTGTGGCGGCGGCCGAGGGGCGCGAGGCGCCGGCCCTTGTGGCGGCGGGAGCTACGCTGGAGGACGATGAAGAGGACGATGGCCGCGGCCGGGGCCTGCTGCGCTGGGACGGTTTCTCGGCATGGCTGCACTGCGTGTGTGTGGTGGGCTTCGACCTGGAGCTGGGCCAGGCGGTGGAGGTGAGGCCCGGCCGCACCCTGTCTCCACGCTTCGCCCCCGCGCGGGCGCGTCTGGCTCCAGCAGATCCTGTGGCCCGCGGGCCGGCCGGCCAAGACCCCAGCTGCCGCTCATCCGGGCGTGGCCCGCAGTCCCTCCGCGGGCTGGGCCTGGCTGCGGTCCGTCTGCCGTTCTCTTGGGAGGATCTTGGGCTGTGGCTAGGGTTGAAATGTGAGCTATTTAGGCCCCTCCTAAATGCTTGTCTTAAAAAAAAAAAGTAAAAAAGTCACAGGAATAACTGAAAGGGTTAGCAGCACCTAGAGAAGGCAGCAGGCAGGATGTTTGAGACTTGCATGAGAAAGAAACAATATTTTGACATATGGTGAACTGTAATAGCTGAAATTGAAAAAACAAGTTTTTAGGCATTTTGTTCGGTTCCTTCTTTTTATTACTCATTTCTGTTATTTCTTAATACTGTTTCTGGAGTAGTTGGCCTGAGGACTGATGTCAAGATGAACATATGGAAAATAATTTGCTTGTAAATCTCAAATTTTCTGTCTTTTTATGTCATCTTATTGATTTCAGTAATTTTTGATAGTGTTTAGGTCCTTTTTTGTAACACAAAAGATTGTCTTTATGTGTTCCTCCTTACCCCCCCCCCCAAAAAAAAAAAAGTTATCAAAAGGTCATATATTTAGAAATGTTGTTGTTGTTTTTTCTTTTGGTGGTAATGACAGTTTTTAATCTCATTATGACTTTGGTGGTCTAAATGGACGGAGAAAAAAAAATTGACCAGAACTACTGCTTTTATATTTAACCTGTCTTCCTGATGTTTTATCATTATACAGTTCAATAAGCATTGAGTTTTTGCTAAGATCTAGGCAATATGCTAGATATACTTTAACTTGTATATTCAAGTTAAAGTATAATGATATACTTTAACTTGTATATTCTTGTATATTCAAGAGTTAATTCAGGGCCAGACACAGTGGCATTCAGTAAATACTTGTTGACAGAATGAGTGAATATATGAGCAAGACATTGATAGACCATGTATGTTTACATTGACATGTTAACCTGAAGTTATAGGTACAGTAAAGTAGAATTTAGCCGGAAAGCATAGGATTGGGTGTTTGTAGTTGACTGCATTTTAAATGAGATCTTTTTGGATTCTCATCATTTGGAACATTCTTTACAATATGAATATTTGATTTTGCTTTTTTTTTTAATGAAATAAGATGGTTATCATAGTTGAGGTTCTGCAAAAATGTGAATTATTAAAGTACTTATTTTTAATTTCATTTCCCCAAACTGTACAGGGTTTCCTTTAGGTCAGTAGTTCTGAACTTCTTTTGTGCTGAACCTTCAAAAAATGTGAACACCATGAATTCTCTATTACAAAATGTCTTATTAAGACAAAATTATGTGTATGCTTTGATGGACTGTTTGAATTTATTCATGAACCTTCTATTCCAGATTGAGTATCACTGATATTAGAAGGTGTAGGATGAGGGTGGGAAAGATTTTCTAATAAAGAAAGATTAGCACATTAAATGAGATACAAAACAATTTTGCTTTATTTGTTTCTAAAGGAGGAATGTGGAATATTGTACCTTGCCTCTTTTAAAATGAAAATGGACCGAGCCAATGGTGTATATTTGTAATCCCAGTGACTGGGAGGCTGAGACAGGAGGCTCACAAATTCAAGACTAGCTTCTGCAGTTTAGTGAGGCCCTAAGCAATTTAACAAGACCCTGTCTCAAAATAAAAAGGACTGGGGATGTACCTCAGTGTTAAAGGGCCTCTGGGTTCCATCCCCAATATTAAAAAAACAAAACAAAACAAAACAACAACAACAAAATAACCCCCCTACCCAAGCAAACAAAAACCAGAAAATGAACACAAATTAGTAACTAGTATGAAAACTAGTTAAAAAATGCTTCACTTTTGTATTAAGACCATATCCATGTTGAAATGGATAAAAGGGGTGACTGGAATGGAAATGTGTAGACTTGTGTTGGAGAAGTGACATAGAGTAGCTATAACCCTACATCCTATAATGTACAACCAAAGGGGCTCAAGAGGAATACTAATTAAAGAATAGGTGTAAAGAAAATTTGGAAAGTAATATCCTGGAACCCACCTGTGTTATCAAAAAGGCAGTCATTGAACCTTGGCCCGAGAGAGACTGAGGCGACTGTTCTGCCCTGACAGCATATATTGGTAGATTTCTTACAGTTGCATAAACTGTGACATTTGGTGGGGGTTGTGGCTCAGTGGTAGAGTGCTCCCATAGCATGCACAGGGAACTGGGTTCAATCCTCAGCACCATATAAATGTAGAATAAAGATATGTATCCACCTAAAACTTTAAAATAAATATTAAAAAAATACAGTGACACTTAACTGAGCTTAAATCCCTACTAAAATGATAATATGGAATAGTGATCAAGAACCTAGTCTCTAGAGCTGAACTGCCAAAATCCATGTGAGTAAGTTACTTAGCTTTTTTTCCTGAGCCTCACATTCCTCCTCTTTACAATAGGACAACTACCTATATCATGGCATTCTTGTGCGGGTAAGGCAAAGTAATGTTTGTAAAGCATTTGGAACAGTGCCTGGGAAACAAATCTATGTAAGTTTTTATTTGGGAAACATGTATTTCCTAGAAATTCCCTTTTTCAGTGAAGAGAATTCCTGACTTTTGCATTCTGAAGTTGGGCCCTAGTTTTATCACTTGTAAAATTGGGCTTGCATGTGTGTATTTGGTTGTGGACTACAGAAACTAACTTTTTAAAAAATATATATATTTTTTACATGTTGATAGATCTTTTTATTTCATTCATTTATTTATATGTGGTGCTGAGAATAGAACCCAGTGCCTCACACATGCTCTACCACTGAGCTACTACCCCAGCCGCTACAGAAACTAACTTAAGGTAGTTCAAACAGAAAAGGGGACCTTGGAGTAAAGGAGTGTTAAAAGGTATTCAAGTGGAGCTTCAGAAAATAGCTAGAGCCCAGAGCCAGGAAAAAAAAAAAAAAGAAATCTTGTTCTTTTTTTTTTCTCTTTTGTGGATCTTTTTCATGCTACCTTCTTCCTACAGACTGACTTCTGCTTCTCTCTTCTTTATGGTGTGGAAGTTGCCCTTTTTAACTGCATAATTGAAGAGTGAATCTTTTATACTTGGAATCTTCCAAACACCAGAGGAAGGTAGCCATGTTTTGAGCAGGTTTCCACTGAGATACAATTGGCTGAAGACCTGGCTGGGTGGGAGAGTGGTTCACCTTATATTAAATGTCCATGGAAGGCCCTGTTCTAGGTAAGGGAGATGTTAAGGAGATCTTTTAGGATAAGATTGAAAATTGTGTTGACTATAGGAGATGCACTTACCTTTTCCCCTGAAGTGATAGCATCACAAAATCCTTGTCCTCTGAAATAAGATTTGAAACTCCCTGGATTTTATAGACTCTTGCACTTCTAGCTTTGAAATTATCTGATTATATAGTAAGGGCTGAATTATCTGAATCCAGAGCTGTCTAGTTTATTAAAAAATGTTTTTTTCTTGAATGATAGTAACATGCTCCTTGTTGAAAACTTGACACAAAAAGAAAATCATAAACACTGGAAAATATCCCTCCTAATTCCACTACTAAGAGGAAACTTCTGTTAATATTTGGCATTTATGTTTATGCTTTTTTCTCTTTATAAAATTTTACATTAATTAAGGATCAATGTGATTGTTATGAACAAAAATCTCATTTAAAAGTAAAGGGAGATTGATTGAGAAGCTTCTAGGCAGTCTCAAAACCCAGGTGCAGGAAGCAAGGATGAACCTCATGGAATTTTTTGTTGTTGTTGTTCTTTTATTTATTTATTTATTTATTTATTTTTTAGTTGTAGTTGGACACAATACCTTTATTTTACTTATTTATTTTTATGTGGTGTTGAGGATTGAACCCAGGGCCTCACACATGCTAGGCAAGGGCTCTACTGCTGAGCCACAACCCCAGCCCACCCTCATGGGATTTTGAAAGCCCAGGCTTTTGCCTTTGTCTCTGAGTCTTTTGTATCTGCTCCTCTTTGGATGTCTGTTCCATATGCCATCCTGATGCCCCTTTTCTCTGTAAACAGAGCCTCAATTGCTACTCCTTCATAACTTATGCCTTACTTTAGGTACCTGGTATTAATTTTAGCCAAAATCTACACTTTTCTTTTGAAACTAGTATGAAGCATAATGCAAATACTAGAATATCCAGTTGACTCAGCAAAGGTCAGTACCCTCTTTGGTTCAGTCAGCTGTGGTCAGGAGATAAGAGTGTTAGTAGTAATAGAGGCCACCTAGGCTTACCTCTGCAATAGGAGAAGGGGACACTTCAATTGCATGGGTTGGGCAGCAGTCCCACAAACATGTACCTGATAAACATTTTCTTTTCTTTTCTTTTTTAATATTTATTTTTTAGTTTTTGGCGGATACAACATCTTTGTTTGTATGTGGTGCTGAGGATCGAACCCGGGCCGCATGCATGCCAGGCGAGCGCGCTACCGCTTGAGCCACATCCCCAGCCCCCTGATAAACATTTTCATAAACAATTTGCTGGATCATTAGAGACTCTTCATAGAATTTTAATATTTAGTTATTAATATTATCTACACAATATAGGGGGTTGTTTGCTTCCTTCGTACACATGTTGGAGATGTTCTCCATTTTTCAGGTTCTTTATGTTTTAGGAATATA